GAGATCATCCACACCATCAAGCTGCAATGCTCCGGCATGCAAGCCATGCCACGCCCAAGCCCGGGGAAGGACATGTCCACACTCACTGCAGACCCCAGTCCCCAACACAGCCTCGTCAATCACGGCGAGAAAAACAAGCGTTGCACGGGTTCCAGAGGTCCATAGTTTGATGCCAAAACAGCAACATTTTCGGCAACAACTTTCGATATCATGTTCGGTTGGCATGAAAACATGCATCTGAGCTCAGCATGTAGACTTGTCATCATCATTAGAAAATTCACCAGCATTATATACCGGTTATAATGGCCACATTTTTCTGAAAAATGTCCCGAACTAAGGCGTGGGACATGAAAAATCGGCCAGTGGTTAGCATCTTAACTTGCAACGGTGACGGCGACAATGACGGTGGCAACGACACTGTCGTGGAAGAAATGTGATTGATGTGAGTATTGAATAGGAAGGCGATGACAAGGATGACGATGGTGACGATGATGACGGTCAAGCTACAGGTTGCCGAAAACACGATCCGCGTGTCCGTGCGGGATGGATCTTTGACTTGGGCCGCGCCGACGCCGCACTTTTTTGGCTTTATAGCGCATGGCGCGCTAGGCCAGGGAGCTTGCCTTCTAGCAATGCCTTTGCCCGCGTGTTTCCAAGCCAACCGCAGACTTGTTTGCATAAAGCAGTATGGCGTTTTTTATGCTGCTGCCGAGCCTTTTTTCTTGCGCAGTCCCCTTCCTCAACAACCTTCCCCCAGCAGGCGGCTGCTAATATCACCCTGGACGGAGCTCGGTTCGGAAGGCACGAACCAGGCCAACGATTTTTTTTGAACTTCTTGCCATTTTTGCCTATGGAACTCACACGGGGGAGGGGCGGCTGGCGCAGGCCGGCTGGTAGCGCTCTTCCAAAAGAATCTCAAAGCTAAAGCGTGCCCTTGCCAATGCTGATGCCGCCATGGCGCACTGGATGCGGAATGCATCGCAGACACACGTGCCTTTGATCACACAAGAGACGTGTTCTCAATCTTTCAAATTGCCCTGTGTGCCAGCGCCGCGTGCTACATGCACCGCTGTTGCCCAAAGCGAGGGGGGAGTGTGAAAATTTCATGTTAGCAGCGTGCACATGACATATGAAGAAAATGTTGGAAAGCAGAGTCCGTGTGTGTATTGCAAGTGAAGCGGCCACAATTTTACCGCACGTTTCGTATTGGTTGATGTTGGAGCCTGCTGACTCCACAGTGTTGAATGCCTGGTCCTACAATGGCCCGTAATATTGGAACATTTGAGGAACCTGCGTGCATGGCGTTTGGCAAGCGGAATTCAAACTGATGCGGTGTCAGTGCAAAACATTCATGGCAAAAACATCTGCCGGAGTTTGTTTTTCAGCCGTTTTTTTGGTGATGTTTGTGTGCAGACGGTCTTCAGTGGCCTGCTGTGTTCTCGTTTTTATCTTATCTTCCACGTTGGATTTGTGGTTTCCGGCTTAAGTACAAGCTGACAGCTGTGGAAGGGAACTGAGGCAGACAGGGACGACCCACGGGGTGCCCAAACGCGGGAACAACCTTAACAATCATAATTGCGTTTGAAAAGCCAAGAACACCTTCACATGCTTGAATTGCAGGTCGATGGACGCTTGGAATCGGGAAGGTTGCACCGGAACAGTGCCATCCGACGGATGAATTAAAAAACGTGACCGTGCCGAAAGGCATCACGGCTGTTTCATGCGGATTTGGTCGCGGTTCGTCATCTGAATGTATAACACGTGCCGAACCGACGGCTGCGGCCTGATCTGCCTGCAGCTTTTTTTTGCTTTGTTTTAGAGTATGCTGCAAATTGCGTTGTGGGATGTTGTTTGGAGTGTTTCCCCCACCGCTGCGGCAATCCTCATTTGCACCATGCAGACATGTTTTTTGGTGCGCACTGATGTCACGAGTTGGCTGCGGTGTAATATCGCCCCGCCACGAAGGCTTCCGCGTCAGATTACAAGGTCATGTTGTGGTTATGCGACGTTGTCTGCACGAGACGCATCATGCCTGCTTGGCTTCTGGCAGGTGACCTTGCGGCCCCGCGTTGACGCGCTTGTGGGCCCTGACGTCTGGGAATCCGTCCTGTATGCAAGCTACCGCGCCGCTCAGGCAAACGACGCCGCTTTTTGCATTGTTGGGGGCGGGTCGGTGACATTCGTCGCTCACAGGGAGGGTTTTGGGGCAATAACTGCCACATTTGCACGCGATCTCCGACGTACGCGTGCAAGCTTGCAGAAACCCATGTCGGTACAGCCTGTTTTCAACAAGTGCGCAATCAAGCGAAGCAGTCCCCGCGCAAAACCAAATCCAGGCAACGCCACGCGCTCGATTCATGGCTTGTTGGCAAATGTGGAACGGCAGTGGAGTCCGCAATCAGGTCGTTGACGAACGGTTTTTTCTTTTCGAGGCTGTTAATGCCAGGGAGCGGGAAAAAGAGGAGGCCGGCGGCAAAGAGAAAAACCAGGGTTGTGTGTATGCGAGGTCGTTGGATGTGCTTGAGGAGGCAAAGCAATGCCGTTTCTGGCGCAGTCCTTGGCTAAGCGGCGGAGAGAGCCGGCGGTTTCACAACTCCTGCAGCCGCAGCCGAGCCGGGGAATCTCTGACAAACTGAGGGTGCGGCCTTTGTTTAGCGCTGGCCGCCCCCCCCGAGGGCAACCCAGTGGCAATGATGTCTATCAGTCGATGTTTTTTTAATTGGCAGGGTTGAGGTTGGGGTCCCCGACCATAGCGTGGCGCGCGACCATCGCAGCATCGAGGGACACGGCTCGCTGGAGGGGACCGTTGCGCCACCTACACATTTGGGTTGCGAAAATGATCGCCATGTTGGTGAGCAATTGTTTTGTATCGCTTGCAATCCCATGTGCTGCCACTGTTGTGGCTCGAGCTAGAAGGTATTTTCTTTCAATGCGGCCCGCGCAATTTTCAGGCATATTTGCCTTTTTCCAAATTTTTGTTTGTGATGCACTTTTCACTCGCTTGTTTACATGCAACATGCAAAGAGCGACGCCAGACGTACATGCAAGGTTACATTCACCCAGAATTATGCGAGACGCAAGCTGGTTGTATCAGCAGACCATCGTACTGGGGACACGGCGGCTTTCACAAAATCGTTTCCGGCCCTTCAGTACCAACAGGAACCTGTAGCCGGCTTGAGACGCAACTCTGTGCTCCATGTGTGCATGCAACGGCAGAATCTGTCATGCGAAATTTTGCTGACATCATCAGCCGCGCCATTCCATACCCTGGCATGGTCAAACATTGTTGTGTCAACATTCACCATCTGGCCAAACCAAGATTTTTGGGTCGCAAATTCTGCACAAGAAAGCCTCGGCCTGGGCCTACGGATCCTTGAGCCAGCAAAGCCGACGTGGTAGCTGCAGAGGTCATGCCAGGTCACCTGTACGGCCGAGAGCGGCCCTTTTTAGGGCACAAGGGTCAAGAGTGAGATGCCACCGAACTAGGACGTCCAGGAATTCGTGTTATGATGTGTTATGTAGCTCGGAGGACAAAATCCGTAAGTTCACAGGAGTGGTTCAGGCCACAAACTTGGGTTTTGGGCCATCGATGCCCAATCATCCCCGCATTCCAGCGAGCAAACTTATCCAAGCTTGTGTTCCATGAATGTCTTGGCCTGCCCTGCACCATGGGCCCGGGCGGCTGCGACGCCAGTACGCTCCCAACCCAACATTTCTCCAGAAGCTGACCAACAAGGCGAGGGTCCAACATTGTTGCAAGCCGTTGCACGACCAGTTCGGACGGTTCGTGCGTGCCCAAAAGTTTTTCGCGGCTTCTTGCCAGTCAGTCAATCAGACCTGCACGCCAACGGGCAACTTTCGAGAGCCCAGGCAAAACAATATGAACATGTTATTACACATGGACGACCCCATCACTCTGCTGTACAAATCTGCTGTAGAAATCTGCTGTAGAAATCTGCTGTACAAATCTGCTGTACAAATGCGGCAAACTCACCAAATCCATCACGGGATTGCTGCACAGAGTCGAGCCGAGTCCTGATCGCCCGAAGGCGTCCCTTTGAGGGCACAAGTGACGCAAACATTAGCTTACCAAAACTGCATCCATCAGGCTCCTTGCTCGAGGGCAAACTGACAACACGCAACGTGTGACTGATTCCAACGTGTGTTGTCTAGAGCATGGGATTGCTGCAGAGTCAAGTCGAGTCGAATCCTGATCGCCTTCCCCTTGAGGGCACAGGTGACACAAACATTGGCTTACAAAAACTGCATCCATCAGGCTCCTTGCTCGAGGGCGAACTGGCAGTACCCATCGTGCGACTGATTCCAAGGCCTGTTGTCTAGAGCAAGGCTGCTGCTTCCCAGTTGTCCCATCGTTTCCAGCGAGCAAGTGTCTCGAGACAAAATGCCTACAGGGTCATCAGCTAACAAGTTTATGGCAAGCATCCGTCACCGAGGCTTGCATTACAAAACCGGGATTGGGGCTACATTTGGCCGAGCACCGGCTCGCTGTGCGCATGGTTGCCCTGCAAAAGCGGACAACACGAAACAACACAAAGATAAGGACAAACCTTGCTCACATTGTGCCGTATGTTTTATGCAAATTGATGCTTAGAGCGAGAGCAGAGCGGAATACAACAAGTCCGCAACCGCGGCTGCAGTACCTTTGCAGTGCTAAATGGCAAAGAGACCTTGTCGTGCCCAGACCGCGCGATGCCAAAGCCCACCTCAGCGGGTGGTGATTGGTGGGTATGGAAATGGCTGGAAGGGAATTCGTTGTGGAGCCCCAACCCCAGGTCATTGTCACAGGCGCGCTCGGTGGGTGGTTACTCCAGCATTTGTTATTGCAATGCCAGTCTGCTGTGCATTTGCAGTGCTGCAAGGCAGACAGTTTAAGGGGCGATTGTTCGCAGCGAGTCAGCCCAGGAGGCAAAGTACGCCGCTGGGGCGTGGGCACTAGCACTGCGCAAGCCTAGCCCACCAAGCCGGAGCGGCAGGTGGGCCCGACGGGCGACGAGAGCCGGCAGCGGGGAGTCGGAGGAGGCCTCAACTTGCAGGAGTTGCGCCAAGCAACTGAGGATGCGGTGGTCATGCTCGGCTGCGAATGCTGCGGTGAGGGCGGGCGGAAGGATGCGCAGCACATACTGTGCCCGGGGGCACGCGCAGTAGAGCAACAAAAGCCAGGCTACCTGTAGGTCTGGGAGTGTGGGGAGGAGCTCGAGGAGAGTGCGGTGCTGCGCACCTTGACTGCGCGAGGTGCGCAGCACCCGAGACCACGTTGGGTTGCCGGGAGGCTGGCATCCCCCACCCAGGCTGGTTCCGTGCCTGGCGGGCACGGGAGTGCTGGCGGCGGGGCACCGCCGGAGTTCCAAACACGGGTTTTTGCAGAGTTGAGGTGTATGTGGGCGTGCTCGAGGAGGTGGATCTGCAGGCGATCAAGCAAGAAGGCCGTGCGGCCTGGCTGACTGGTGAAGTAGATGTCGTCGAGGAAGGCCCGTGCAGACTCGCCGGGGATGAGCTCGGCCTGCAACGCGCGCAGTGCCGGGGCGAGGCCAAGGGCGAAGAGTGCCGGCATCAACGGGTCACCTTGTTCACCACCTTCGGCCTGGTAGATGCTGTGCGGGGCTCCATCACCATCGGTCCAGAGGAACTCGGAAGGGGAGCCGTAAAACAGCCGGACGAAAGGCAGTGCGCGGCAGGCATCAGGGACCCCGTGGAGGGCTGCAAGCATTGCCTGTCGGCTGATGAGGTCGAAGGCACCGACCCCGTCGACCGACAGCACTGTGAGCGAAGGGTCCCGGTCACACTCGGTGTGGAGGGAGTGGGCCAGGGCTTCGGCCCCGGCACGGGTGGACAGCGCGTACTGATGCGGCCTGGTGGCCTCGTCGAAGGCTCCTGCGAACTGCTGCGCGAGCGAACGCGCGACGAGGCGGCGCAGGAAGTCGCCGACAACGATGCCCCGCACCCCGCCAGCGGGCTTGCTAACAGCGACGATGCGGCCGAGGCCGAGCGCGGAGGCGGCTGAGGTTGGCAACAGGGCACGGGCGAGCAGCTCGGCAACGGCATGCAGGGCTTCCAAAGCCGCTGGGTCGTCCAGCAAAGGGCGGAGGATCTCAGCAGTGTAGCCTGAAGGGCCTGGGGCCGCCCCGCGGCGGGATCGCCGGAGGTTCGAGATGAGGATCTCGCGGGAAAGTGCGAGTGGCACATCCGGACTGAAAGCGAGGATGTCCGGATCCAAGGGAACATACGGCTGAGGCGGTCTGCGGGAGGGGTCCTGCAATGCTTGAAGGGTGGCCTCGTCAGCTGGGGCCAACGGAGGGGCTAGGAGGGCCTGCCGCGCAGCAGAAAGCTCACCAAGGTGGGCGAGGTGCACCGCCCGGTCTGCCCGAGCCTCCCCCTCGGAGCGTGTGACCGCCCGCCGGGCTGGAACGCTGGCAGCCGCAGCTGAATCATCGAGCCGTGCCGGCCATTGGCCACGGGTGCACGGAGCTCAGGCTTTGGGACACGGGGTGCTGCAGATGGCCTGAAGAGCAACATGCGAGGGAGCAACAGCCAGAGTTTCCACGCTCTCTGAGCATCGATGCCGGCAGGCTCGCTCGCGGCATTGAGTAATTGCGTGAGCGCAAAATGCAGTGCTTGCCGCAGTGGGCCTTTAACAAAGGCGGGCGGCGAACGGAACAACGGGCAAGGCTGACGCAAGACGGCCGTGGCGTCGACAGCATCCAGGGTCGCAAGTGCTGCGCTGAGTTGTCGGCCTTGCAGGCCAGCGGCGCTGCGGGCCGGCGGGGGGGCAGGTGACTGAGTGCCAGGCGCTTGGGCATCACCGGGCGAGGCGGGCGCGGGGCTGGCTGCATTGCCAGCGACAGCACCTAAGCTAGAACTAGAGCTGGAGCTGCCGGAGCTACTGGTGCTGCTGGTGCTGTCGTCACTGCCGCTGCTGCTGCCGTCACTGCAGCGGGGTGAACACGGGGAAAGGGCACGGGGAGAGGGCGGCGTGACCTGTGCAGGTAGAGGTGACTCAGGGCTGGTGCGTAGACTTTCTTCAAGAGCTGCGGTGAGTGCGGTTGCTGGCCCACTGCCGAGGTAATTTTCAAGCAAGGCCTCTTGGGCGGAGGCCGGCACGTAACCGTTAGTGTCTGTGACCCGCGGGAGAACCCAATTGAGGTGAGCGAGAGTGCCCGCCGGCAGGCCCTCGACCAGGGCTGCGAGGACGGCGGGGAGTGCGGCTTCGAAGGCTGAGAGCTGGCGACCTTCCCTGGCATAGACATCCTGAAGGGTTTGCACGGCCGTGGCTAGGGTGGCAACTGGGACTGCTGGCGCGAGCTGCAGGTTTGCTAGGGCATCCGCCCACAACCGGCCGTAAAAGGGGTGGGCTTCCCATTGTTGGATTGCATCGGGGTGCAGGGACCTAGCTGCGGCATGCAAAAGCGGGACGAAGAACCAGCTGTATGGTGGCGGCGAGCGGTGGCCTGGAGGCGGGCCGCGGGTGGACCACGAAGACGCGGCTAGAGCGGTGTGCTGGCCAGGGGCGGGTGGTTCAGCTGGACGTGCCGACTCGACTGGGACGGCCTGGGGCCGACAAGGGTGCAAAGTGCCGGAGGGCGTGTGGCAACAGACCCATCCGCGTTGTGCAGCAGGCAAGTCGATTGCAAGTGTGCGTGCACCATGGGCTCGCAGGCCGGCTGGGGGGGCAGGTGCTGGAATAAAGGGTGTTCCGGGCATAGGTTGGCATTGCATCGTAAACAGACCCACTCCGGGTCCCACACGCGGGTGCTGCGGTTGAATGTTGGGGCCCATTCCATGCCCCGGTCATCGAGCTCGGCCCAGACGGCCTCCGAACCTTCCGAAGCAGGCCGCGCAAGGTAAATGCGGCGGCAACACAAAGGCCATATGTGAGCCGGGGGAGGGGGGGGGCTGCAACTCGAGGGAGTGCTCGGAACGCGTGTCTACTTCCGGGGCAGGTTCAGGGAAAGGTACAGATTGCTGCAGGCACGCGACCTGGAGGGCCTCTGAGGAACCTGGGGGCCAACCGGCCCGGCAGGTGGGGCAGGCCAGGCGACTTGAGTTGACTGCTAGGTGGGCTGCACAGCCTAAGTGTAACACATGTGCGCATTGTGGCCAGGCAAAAGCTGCCTCGGGCCCTCTGCCGCCGGGCTCGGCGTCGCAGAAACACAAGGGGCAAGCGTCTGTTGCGGGGCACGCGGGGGGCACTGGCGTGCCGGCTCTGCGGAGCCACTGCGGAGTGGAAGAGGCAGGCAGTGCCGTGTCTGGGGAACGGGCCGACACGCTGTCTACAGCAGTTGCTTGCAGCGGAGTGCGGTTGCTGACCGTGTCCCCAGGGCTGCCCTCGCGGGAGGGCCGCATGCAGGAGGCTTCCAAGCAGTAAGAAAAAGGCCTAAACCAGTAGACTTTGGTTTGGCGATATGCAGTTGTGTGTGGCCAGGGAGCGCAGCGTGGACTAGAGGGAAAGAGGGGCAGAGCCGGGCGGTCTCAGCCGTGTCTTTGACAACGGGAGGTACCGGATGCCACACACGGGGCCTAAACCCTAAACTAAACAGGCTTCGGGTTGTGCGCTCCTGGGCAACGGAGGCCGGTCAAGGCAAGGCGTAGGCAAGGTGCAGAGCCGGGCGGAACCGGACAGCAAGGGCTGGACGAGGCGTGAGGAGCAGGGCCGGGCTGTCTCCACCCGAGGGGGACTGGATGCCAAAAGTCCACGGCAGAGCCAGACTGTCCCAAGGGGAGGAACCGGATGCTCGCGATATGGCTCGCGGGCAGAGGCTCTAGAACGTTTCCGTTAGGGGGTCCGGGGGACCAGTTCTAGCGAGGCCCACAACGGTTTTTACCAGCAGGCTCACAGTTACAAAGCCAAGCAAACGTTTCCCCTTGAAGATCTGTAGCACTTGAGCCAAAATGGTTCCTAATCCCCAGCAGCGCACGCTTGGCCCCCAGGGGAGGTCTCCCCCATCCCCGTGCCATCTACCCCATCGACGCGTGAGGCCGTGCCCTCGCCCGCAACACCCTTTGATGGAAGCAATGCAAGGCCTCTTGCCCCGATTGCGGCTTGCCCTGTTTGCGCCGATGGTCCCGGTTCACCGCCTGACGAACACGACGTCCCCGCTGTGGTGCATATGCCCATCTTTCCTGCATAAAAATGCAATGCACGCATTACCACGGTCAGTGCCCCAATTGCTGCGATGACCTCCGCCAGCTGCGTATCGAACAGGCTGGCCTCACTGTGAGCCCGCGATTTTGGACGGTGCCCAAACAGCATGTGCAACGGTGCAGGACTACAACTTCGCGGCGCAGTTGGCCAAAAAAACGTCGGCCGCATTCGCCGAGTTGTCCATTGTCTCAACAACAGCACACGGAGCCTGCACCAAGCCATCCAGTAAGAGCCGGCTACCTTGCCATCCCACCACTCTCAGGCCAGCGGTGCTGGCGCGTCAGCGAACGCGTTTCGACGCGCGCGAAACCCGCAGATGGTTATCGAAGCCACCCTCAAATTTGCGCGGCGCCACAACGACGAGAGCCTTTCGACACGCACGAAACCGGCAGTGGGGTGCATCTCGCTTACCCCCACCAAGTTTACCCTGGCTGTAGAAATTTAGAAAATGGAAAAGGTGCTGTGGTGCGGTGTTGGTGAACGATGCAGGTATACATGGTGGCGTGGTGTACGTGAACGGTGTAGGTATTGTATAGACTGCGGCGTGGCGTATGTCAGCGATATGAGTGCTGTGGCGCGGCGTTCGTGAGCGGTGTAGGTACAGACTCGCACTTGTTCGCAGCGGCCTCAAGTTTCCCTCGCTGTCTTGCAGCTGTTTCAACCGCCTTCCCTGCCAGGTTTGCGGCTGCGCCCCGCACGGCCGCTGCTTCAAGGACTTCTTCTTCCCAGCACCAGTTTTCTCAACCGGTTTGCGGTTTGCCGCTACAGAGCCAGCCGCTTTACGAGCCACAGCTCAACGCAGGCGCCCCCGCTGGACCTGTGTTCTGCGGTTGCCTTGCGTCTTTCACTGCAAGAATGTTCTGCGTTTGGCCACTTCCGGGATACTCTGCGGTTGCGCAATGCAGGGATGCGCTGCCATTGAGCACTGCAAAGATATTAGGTTGTTGGGCATTGCATACCTGGTGGTTGGGTTGGGCACTGCTGAGATAGCGTAGTGGTTGGGCACCGCAAAGATGTTCAGCGGCTGGGCACTGCAGGGATACTNNGATACTCAGCGGTTGGGCATTGCAAAATATCTTGCCATTGGGCACTGCAGTCAGCGTTTTGAAATGTAACAACCCCACGGTGAGGATGGAGAAAAGTGACACTGCATGCCTTATGGCTTGTCTGCAGCAAGCAGAAGCGGAACAAATTTTGCATGACAAACTTTTGTCGGCATGATTTCATGGCCCACATCCACGCTGATGAAGAGGCAACATTGCCACAACGAAGAGCATCGGCATCTGTTTCGAAGACAACGGTCGCTGCGCCTAGGTGCTTGCAATACACTTGCATCTTTTTTTGATACGTATATTTTTGCGCGATTGGTTGTTGTAGTGTTTTCGTTTTTTTTTTTTTTCTT